CCGGGAACTGTGTCCCAGATCTCTCCATCCCTGCTCCTGCTCCTGTGTTCCTAGGAGTACCTGACCTGGCCGGGCTTCTTTCCTGCAGGTCCCCAAGGCCAGAAAAATACACCATCGGTGGAAGCAGCACTGGCCATGGGGTCAGAAGCATCTTGAATTCCATCTGAGAATAACCATCCCTTCTCTACCTCGGGTTTTTGTTCTGGGGCTGCTTCTGGTTCAGTGTTAGCAGGTAGCTGCCGGCAGTACTCTGAGCCCATGTGTGCTGGGGACAGAAGCCAGGCCTCCTGCTGAGAAGGTGCTCCATCCCCGGCCTCCTGCGAGTCATAGTTCTTAGTTGTCCCCGAGCTTCCATTTCCGCATCTACAGGTCGGGGCAGCCGTCAACAGGGATTTCCAGGGTCACGCGGTCTGTGTTGGGGGCTCCTGGCTCCCACTGGGCTTTGTTCCAGGCCTTTCTATGAGGCTTGAGGGGCTATGGTCTGTGGGGAGGCAGGCCTATTAGGCCTTAGGGGCCCCTCGGGGCCATGTTGACACACTGAGGGATCGTGAAGTCATGCAGTTTGCCTAACAGCGCAGTTAATGCACTTGGGCCATGTTGAAATCATCCAAATCCATGGAACTTAGCTCTGGGCCCATGGGAGCAGCATCGGCTTCCTCGGGGAAACCAAGGACAGCCTGCAGCTGGGGTGGGCCGAGGGTCGCTGTGGGGCCCAGTCAGTGTTCGAGAAAGACAACTGCCCTTGCCCCAAAGCCTGGCAAAAAAGGACAGTTTTTCAGTTTACCCTTCTCTCAAAACTTCATCCTTCCTTTGTTTGGGTTTGCAGATGGGACAATGGCCCAGGTACCAGCCCAGCTGGGCATTTTCTCGTTGCTTCTGGTGCCCACTGGTCTGCAGCCCACTCCTGTCCTTCCTTCCCTGTCCTTCCTCATGTCAAGCCCTTCTTGGGACCCGCAGACAAGAAGTTGCCTTGAGGTCTGGAGTCCCCCATTTTCCCGCATGCTGTGGAACTGAGCCTGCCATGTCCACTCACACACCTGACCTCACCGAGTGGGCACTGGCCGCTGCTGCTCACGGGAGGACATCAACCCCACCCCGACCCCCGCCCTTTCCTGACCAAGAGCAGGCCAGCAGGAGTGCTGGAGCCTGGGGGAGGTTGGGGGTTGAGTGAGGGGTAGGAGATGGGCCTGTCTTCACCCTCTTGCTGCCCAGCTGGGATGGGTCAAGGAGATCACTTCTCCAGACATTGCTTGTCTTGTCAGACTCAGAGGGGGCCCTGAGACTCCAGGCAGCTGCGGCACCAACCAGGGCCCCTGCACCAAGGCAGAACTCCATCCTGTAGAGCTCCTGGTCTGGACACTTCCTAGTCCTCTCCTGGGGGCGAGGGGGCCGGGTGGACTCTGGGGGAAGGGAGTCCTCAACAGGTGTCTCATCATGGAGCCAATACCAGGCTGGGAGCTGGGGCTCTCCTGCAGGTGTGGGGGGAATCTGGGATCTCCTGCAGGTTTGGGGGGGTCTAAGCTGTCCAGCAAGGACCTGCAAGGGGCGGGGCAGGGGCCTGTAGTGTAGGCGGCCAAGCCTGGAGGCTGCAGAGTAGGAGAGAAGTCAGAGCGGGTGCTGTGGACAGCAGGAAGGGGCACAGACCCCTCCTGCCCACAGGAATCATGCCGGGTGTGGGGCACTTGCCTCAGTGCCCAGATGGGCCTGGGGGTTAGGAGGCCTTGGGGTTAGGACCCAGGTCCAGGGCCAGCAGCTTCAATGCAGAAGGGGTGGTGCTGAGATGGGCTCACACCTGGGCGAGGCCAGGAAATTGGGGGGCAGGGAAGGAGAGTTTGTTCCCATTTCCCAGGCTGGGAAGGGCAGAGCCCAGGGGCTAAAGTGTAGGAGCATTTCCTCTTTCCTACAGGGTGGAGTGGGGGCCCAGCAGCCACACCCACTAGGCCCTGCCAGGGTGCCGGGGGCAAGGCTGCTGGAACCAAGGTCCATGTCCGCTGTCAGCCACAGCACCCCAAATGGGACAGGCTCCTGTGCTGTGGGCAGTGAGGTGACTGTGGTCGCCCCAGAAGAGACATAACCCTCACCAAGCACCACAGCTAAGAGGAGAGTGAGCACCACAGCCAGGCCTGGATGCAACCCTGAGCACTGTGCTAGAGTGACTCTGAGCACTGTGTTAGAGTATGGCCCTGAGCACTGTTAGAGTGTGTGACCTTGAGCACTGTGTCAGAGTGTGGCCCTGAGCACAGTGTTAGAGTGTGGCCCTGAGCACTGTGATAGAGTGTGGCCTTGAGCACTGTGATTGAGTGTGGCCCTGAGCACTGTGTCAGAGTGTGACCCTGAGCACTATGTCAGAGTGTGACCCTGAGCACTGTGTTAGAGTGTGTGACCCTGAGCACTGTGTTAGAGTGTGTGACCCTGAGCACTGTGTTAGAGTGTGTGACCCTGAGCACTGTGTTAGAGTGTGTGACCCTGAGCACTGTGTTAGAGTGTGTGACCCTGAGCACTGTGTTAGAGTGTGTGACCCTGAGCACTGTGTCAGAGTGTGGTCCTGAGCACTGTGTCAGAGTGTGACCCTGAGCACTGTGTTAGAGTGTGTGACCCTGAGCACTGTGTTAGAGTGTGGCCCTGAGCACTGTGTCAGAGTGTGACCCTGAGCACTGTGTTAGAGTGTGCAAGCATGCAGCATCAACAAGGGGAAGGAGGGAGGGAATGAAAAACACACCAGGGGCCGGAGAGGAAGCCGAGAGTCTGGGGCACGTGCTCTACCTGCAGGAAGCCAGGTTCGATTCCCAGCATTGCATGGTCCCCGGGGCACTGCCAGGGCGCAAGCCCCAAGGAATGCACTAGAAGCTCTGCTTGTAGTCACACCTCCAGAGCAAAAGTAAAGGAAGCAGAAAGAAGGGCAGCCCCGCTGCAACTTCACTCTCAACAGCAGTTCCACTCCAGCCGCAGCTCTGAGCAGCCCTCGCCATCACCCAGTCCGACCTCCACGTCCATTACAATCCTAACTACACCCCCAATTTCCTGATCCCTAACAATCATTCCGTTCTCACCTGGCCTTGACTCAAACCCAGCCTGAATCCTGTCCGGAACTATCATCGCTGACATCCCCAAGCCCAGCCTATAACCCACAGCTGACCAGGTCTGGTGGGCTCAACCCCGGCCTAACGTCCACCTGTGAGTGGGTCCCAGCCCCACCTGCTGCCCTGACTTCACCCAGGACCGGGTGTTCCAGTCCGTTCCTCATTCTCCCCCGTGTTTACTCACAGCCGGCAGAGGTGTCCACGCGGCTGGACAGCACATACAGACCATAGCGTATACAAACACGAACCTCTCAGTCTACAGACACGCAGCCCTCAGAGCACACATGCACGCACACACACACACACACACACACACACACACACACACATACACCCCTCAGTGTATAGATACACACCTCTTGGCGTCCTTGCTCGCCATAGAACACAATGGATGCACACGGTAATGGGGCACAGTTCTCATGGGGCTCAGAGCCACATCCCCAGCGTGTCCCTGATAGGATGATGTGGCTGGTTCCAGGGAACAGAGTGAGTGGGAAGCAATTGAGATTGATCCGGGCTTTCCCGCATGAGGAGGGGTTCACCTAGTGACAGAAGGAAGTGCCTTCAGGCAGCTAGAGCTGCGCGTGCCAGGGAAACATGCTCAGGCAGTCTGGGGATCTGAGTCTGGCAGATTGGATCGGGGCTTGGGGAGAGCCCGGAGCGCACCAAGGGGGGCAGTGGGCGGGCAGAAAGTGCAGTGCGGAGGCACACGCAAGGTAGCCTGGGGCCGAAGGACAGGGAGGACAGTGCTCTGAGCACCCAATTGGAGCAGGCTGTGGTAACAAAGGTCAAGAGGTCGCCGAGGGCTGATGGGGACTGGGAGCTGCTGTCACTGTTGCTGAAAGTAGTAACTGTTCCCGCACTGAGGGCTTGCTCAGGGCCAGACATTGAGTCAAACTTTTTGGTTTGGGGGCCACACCCGGAGATGCGCAGGGCTTCCTCCTGGCTCCGCACTCTGGGAGTTCTCCTGGCGGTGTTCAGGGGACTTGTATGGGATGCTGGGAATCGAACCCAGGTTGGCCCCACACAAAGCAAGTGTCCTATCTACTGTACTATATCACGTTGGCCTCTATAGAGACTCTTTATATCACCCTATCTCATCCTCAAAGTAATTCCAGCAGATGGGTCCCCAAGAGGCCACAAAGGAAACTGAGGCTCAGAGAAGGGAAGCCCCGTGCTGGTCCACACCCGGGGGGGGGGGCCAGACCTGTGGGAGGAGAGGCGAGATTTACATTAAGCCCCGGTAGCCTCCGATGCTCCCACCAACACCCCTCCTGGCTGTCTCTTATGCGGCGTGTGAGGATGCTCTGGCTGTGACCGCTGCACCCCCGTACATCACCAGGCTTGATCTGGCAGATCTGGCTGGCATAGCGGGCACCCTCTTTTTTCTTGGTCACCCAGGCACATCCCTCCCGAGGTTGCTCTGTGGAAGAGGGACAGCCTTCCCCAAACAGGTACAGTGACCCAGGGAGAGGGGATGCAGTAGAGGTTTGGGTCTCAGAACTGGCCTGTCATACCCTCTCACAGACTAACCCCCAGAGCCCCCGGCTAGTGTGCCCGCCCCCCTCCGGGGGAGAATCCCCCTGAGAGGCCCCCAAGATGAGGAGACCCTTCCCCTCCTTCCTCCCCACCACCCAGACTTCCTTCCTTGCCACTCTCTGGGTCTCCTAGACACAGCATGGTGGACTGAGCACTTGTCAGTGAGCACAGGCTCTGCTCTGCAGGGGTCCCCATGGGTGCCAGGGAGTGGCGAGGTGCCAGCTCCCCGCGGAGGCGCTCTCCTTATCTGCCACACTGTCCTGGTCGTGAGCTTATCTGATGAGTCTGATGGGAGGCAGAGGAAGGCTCCTGGTTACTGAGTAACTCTGCCCTCTTTAAAAGTCCCCCGGCCGCCCCTGCCACCAGCACTGGTCTCTCGTCTCTGGGCCCTGCTGCCATGAATTCCTTCTTGCTCTCCGCACTGTGCCTCTTTGGGGTCTGCGCAGCCCTGGCAGGGGCCGTGACCGTGCAGGTGAGTGCTGCCTCTGCCTTACCTGCCCACCTCCTCCCCTCCAACCACACAGACGAAGCAGGAAGAGGGCGCGGGTGGAGAACTCCTTCTGTCCTACCTCAGACATCTTCCCCTTCAAATCTACCCCTTGAGGGTAGGAAGTCTCATTAGAGGAGCAAAGGGAGCTGGGGAGGGCAGGCCGTGCTCTGAGGCCAAGCCCTGCCCAGCATCTCTGGGAGGAGGGAATTCCAGCTTCAAAGTGAAAGAGCTGGGGTTTTTTTTTTTTTTTTTTGCTTTTTGGGTCACACCTGGCGATGCACAGGGGTTCCTCCTGGCTCTGCACTCAGGAATTACTCCTGGCAGTGCTCAGGGGACCATATGGGATGCTGGGAATCGAACCCGGGTTGACCGCGTGCAAGGCAAATGCCCTACCCGCTGTGCTATCACTCCAGCCCCTGGTTTTTTTTTTTTTTATATATTTTTTAATGGGGGCACAGCACATCCCAGGGTGCTTAGGGGAGACTCGCAGCTCAGCGTATGAGGGTCGCTCCAGAGTACTCAGGGGATCATGCGGGGCTGAGGAGGGAAACTGGGGCTCCAGTCCTCTGAGCGATGGTCTCCCTGCCCCACGCAGCTGGTTTTAAACCCAGATCTCACTCTCTTCCCTCTGCTCAGCCAGGCTACCCGCCCAGATCCTAAGGCTCATCTGCAAGGCTGCAGGTCCTAGAGGCTGCCAGCACAGGCACCTGTCAGGGCCGAGGGTCTGGTCCCACCCAGTCCCGGTGGGGGCGGCAGCCTTTTTTTATTGCTTCTTAAATATCAGCCAGCTACAGGCTGGTTGCATTATCTGGGCTGGGCCAGATCAGCTGGCATGTTCCCAGGCTGTAAAGGCAACCTGGGTGAGGCCACGTGGACTCCGAGTGCCTCGCCCCGCAGATCAGCCCAGTGACTCCTTCATTGGGCACCCACGTGTCCCTGCCCCGTGCCGGGGTGTTCTCTGTCCGTTGTAACAGGCAGTATGCAGCTTCCGCAGTGGTCAGAGAGTCTGCCAGGACGACCACTCACACTGCCCCTTGGGAAGCATGCGGGAACCCTACTCAGTGCCACTGGAGGGGCGAGCCCCCGTGGCCAAGCTCACACTCCTGCCCTGACCCCCAGGACGGGGAGTTTTCCTTTCCTCTAGAGTCCGTGAAGAAGCTCAAGGGCCTCCAGGCTGCCCAGGAGCCCGGCATCTGGAACCCCAAGCACGTTAAGGGCCTCATGGTTCCCCCGCTCTGTGAAAACCCCAAGTTCCCCGAGGAGCTCCGACCCGTGTGCAAAGAGCCCAACGCTGCGCAGATTCTCGACCGCCTGGGTGAGCGCCCGCGCTTCTCCTGGGAGGGGCTCGGAAAGCCTCTGATTGGCGGCACGTGACGCGGGGGTGTGTTCTGATTGGTGAACTTTGGAGGGCGGGCTCTGCTCTGATTGGCTCCCCTTCCTAGAACTGCAAATTGTAACAGTGGCATTGCCTCCCAGATCTTCCTCTGGGCCGAAGAGCCCCCCTGCCCCCCACCCCGGCGGACTTGGGTTTCCCCTGCGGCTCGTGGTCCCCCAACTCTGGTGGGTGGGGTCTCACTGCCCCTTTTCTGCAGTGGCCATCGCCGAGGAACCGAGCACATGTGAGATCTGCACCTTCGCTGCCTGTGCGGGATGCTAGACTCACCCCACTCCCATCAGCTCCACATCCGCAGCCCTGGAACAGAGGAGAGAGAGGAGAGCCGCCCCGGGAACCCCAGACCCTCACCCCGACCAGGCCACTTCCCTGAACCCACCCCAAAGTTCAATAAACCGGATGCCAGAGTCTGAGTGTGGCTTTCATTCATTTTCAATCCATCAGTCGGCTCTCCACTCTGCTTGCGTGGAAAGCACAGGGTTTAGAGTGCTCAGAGCAAGAATCGCGCTCCTCATTCCTCCCGGCGCCCCACTGCTAAGCTACCAGCCCCTAGGGCCAGCCACCATGCAAAGAGCTCAGGGACCCGAGTGCCTCTCCAGGTAACCCATGTGTGAGGGGCCTGAGTCCGCCACTGTCCACCCATAAAAGTCATCCCCGCCTTGTGAGTCGGGAGTCTTTGCTGCATGTCACAGTGGCCCCTCGACTGACTGTGAGGGCAGCTCTCGGTTCTCAGGGTCTCAGGACATGACCCCCTGACCGCAGCACCAATGCCCTCTGCATGCCCCCAGCTCACACCTCAGGCATAGCTCTGACCGTTTCCTCTCATCTTCCTCACTCTCCATCAGGGGTGAGCTCTGGTGCCGAGGCTTTCTCCCTGGGCCTTTCCTGAAGAGCCTTTCCTTACCCCGCAAGACAATCTCCTGCTCTGTGCTTGGTGGTCCCTGGACATTTCGAGGTGTCTCCCAAGTGGTCCTCAGGAGACCCCTCCAGAGCCCCTAATAAATGTGAGGCTATGATGGTTGCTGCTTTCATGCCGCAGCACAGGGGATGATCTGTCCCCTCACCCCAGGGCTGCTTGGGGGTCTCCAGGCTGCACTCTGCCAGGCTGCGGCCACATGCGCTGCTGGGGGTGCACGGCATGTACATAAGCCCTGCACTGCCTCTCCGGTCCCTTGAGCACTTTGATTACACCCACCCCAACCCCCTTGCACATCTCTGATCACCTGGGCTATAGTGACTTTGTGTCTGGGGGCAGTCTCTCCGTTCCCCAGACAGGAGCACTGCCGGATGGGAACAGGTGGGTATCACCCAGGGCAGCGGAAGGCAAGCCAAGCGTTCTCGGCGCCAGACCTGAGCTCCTTGTACGGTCGACGAGGGGGAAAGTCGGTCTCTGTGCTCCGCCTTCTCCACTAACACTGAAACAAAGCGAGTCAAGATCAGGTCAGAGGCAGACTAAGAGAATTCCAACTAAACACAGACACTGTGAGAAGGGGCCCGGTCCAGGTGAGGACACTCACGTGGAGAGCAGGGATGAGGAGGAGACGTGTCAGCAAAGCCAGCAAGGGGAAGGAACGGAGGTGGCCGGGGCACTGGCATTGCAGGGTGTGTGGGAGAGGGGAATACTTCAGATTTCAGAAGGACAGGGGAGTCTCCTTCCGGTCAGGTTAGGCAAGCCTGTGTGAGTGGGGAAGGGAGCCGGGCGTTTGTTTGAGTTCTTGAGATTGTCTTCAGGATGGATGGAATTCCAAAACTAGTGTGGAGGAGGAGGCAGAGAACAGTCTAGGCGGTGGGCAGGGGCAGACACCCACAGAAGCTTGAACAGGCAGGTCAGCAGGAAGCCTGGGGGTCACGCGTTGAGGGGTCACTGACGGTGACCATGCGGCCCTCTCTGAGACTTGGGCTCCTTGTCTGGAAACAGGCGTGCAGGGATCAGGGGGGCTTGGTGGAGTGTTATGTGCATGTTTGGGGGCTCCCACTTGAATGAAATCACCTGGACAGGAATCCTGACTCAGCCTCTTCCCAGCTGCGTGACTTTGCACAGGTTATTCGGCTTCTTGTCTCCTCAGTTTGCCTGACAAGAATTCCTCATCACAGGGTGCAGTGAAGCTTTTATGAGGAGGGTCAAGAAAGGCTCCAAGAAGCCCCTAGACTGTGGGTAGCACTTGGGTGGTGCTGCTTATGGTCTTATATCTTTGGAGCTGGCCCAGCTCAGAGTCAGGGACAGCCAGAAGCTGGACAGTGGTGGTGGTGGCCTCCTTTGCCCCCCTCTTCCTGAGGTGCAGGGAACCAGTAGAGGTGAGGAGGCCAGAGGCCCCAAAGGCATGAAGTCAGAGTCATGTCAGGTGCATCTCCTGGATGCCACACAGCTCATACTGGACCCTGCCCGGGCACCAGCGCTCCATGGACCCTGGTCCAGCAGCTGAGCAGAGATGAGGAGACCTCATCTCCTGATGAGCAGCTGAGCAGAGATGAGGAGATGCAGGAGGCAAAGTAAAGGTCCCCGCCTGTGCCACCTGTGTGTGGACTGTGGGGGGAAGGAGAGGAGGCGGGGCTTGGCGGGAGTGAGTGGCCTGACCCCAGGAGAAGTGGGCCGTTGGGGAGGGCAGCTGTAGACTTCCACCCTGACCTTGGCCCTGGGCAGGAGTCCAGAGAGCACGGCCCTTTCGCAGGCCACTTTTCTCCTCTCTGGCTTCTGCCTTGAGGAGTCCACCCTATAGGAAGGGCCCCAGGCCTGGGAATTGCCAGCCGCCTCCAGAAGAGCTTGGGGGTTGCAGTGGAGGGGTGCGGGGGAAGAGGAAGGGCAGTGCCATGGCAGCGCTTCTTAGTGGCACTCCACTCAGGGGCACGTGGGCTGTGGGAATGACAGCAGGACCTGCCTCGTTTCACTGCTGTGAGGACTCGGAGTTCTTAGGTTCCCGGGATTAGAATCTGGCCTGGGGCATAGCAACTACTCCTCACACCGCAGTTATTAGGCTGGTTATCAGCACCCCCCAGAACCCGAGCAGAGAGAGCAAGGAAGGAACGGCTAGATGGGCCAGGAAGGGAGGGCGCCCAGGGCCCTGTGCGGCTGCCAGGGAAAATTCAGCCCTGACCATAGGCCCGGGAGGGGGTGCCGTAGGCTTTTATCCCCCACTCTGTAACGCTGCTTCTTCAGCCTCATCCCCCCTGGTTCGGAACACGGAATTCTGGCTCCACGGCTCACCCCAAGCCCAACTGGGCGGGGGTTCTTCTATGCTCCTTCGCTCTGGGATCTTGGGGTTCCCCCAGAAACTTGTTCCCTCCTACATGAAGTTCTTCTGGGGTGCCGGGCAGCTCCTGACAGTCTCCCCACCCCACCCCCCACCCCCCACTCCGCACCCCTGAGCTCCCAGGATGAGAAAACGGACACTGATGGGGGGCGGAACATCTTTATTCAAGGGTGGGACACACTCTCCTCCAGGGGCTTGGCCATGGCTGCACAGGATGGGGGCTGTGACCCAGGAGCTTACACGGAGGGGTTGCTGGGGAGGGAGCAGGCTGGAGAGGCCAGCTGCCTGGGGTGGGGGCTCAGGTCCCCAGGACATCTCAGATGCAGCCGGTGCAGGCCACATTCACACACAACTCACAGTTGTCATCCTCTGATGGGCAGGGGAGAAAATCAGTCAGCTGGACAGACAGTTACCCAGTGGTCATGGTGGGTCAGGGGGTGGCTGATCAGGCAACTGGAGGTCTGCTTAGGAGAACTTCACACCAGGGTGAGCGCTGGTCTCCTCTCCCAAGCAGCCTGGATGAGTCACTGGACTTTTATATTCTTCTCACAGGTTTGGAGGGCCTCAGCAGGCAGAGATTTCCAGGCCTGGCCCTAGGCTGGCCCTCAGGAGCACTGGGGCTCCCTTCTTCCTCCTGGTCTTATTTCCATACCACCTCCTCTGGGGGCCTCTCAGACCCTCATGCCACCCCAGAGGGGAACTATGTCTCTGAGGTCTCCATCGCGTCCCCTCCTCCCACCCCTGCCTCCTGGCTCCCCTCCCCTGCACTCCCTGGCCCCTGCCCACCTCTCACACTTGGGAGGTGGGATCCAGGTGGCAGAACTGGGGGCTTCCCTGCGGGCTGCCCTCAGTGCCCGAACCTGGAACACAGGGGTCAAGTTCCTACACTCCCTGTGCCCAGCTGTGGGGCAGCTCTAGAAACAAAGAGTGGAGAGGGGGAAGGGGTGCCCTCCCCCCAAGAGCTCTCACTCAAGCCTGCAGAATGCTGCAGTTTTGCTAGAGGTCCAGTGGCAGGGCTGAGTGGGAGCACATGGGGGGGGGGGGGAGCTGTGGTTCTGGGCATACAGGTCCTGGGCACCCCTTTCTCCTCCATATCACAAAGCTTCTTCACTGAGTCCAGCTGCATCCGGAAGCCTTGGTAGTGAGGGCAGGAGAGGGGTAGGAGAAGAGGGGGCGGGCATCAGTCAGGCCAGGGGCAGCTCCTGCAGGGCCCCAGGTTTCATGGCTCCTGGAGCTTTCCTGTCCCCATGGAATGTTCGGGCTGCAGGACCTGTGTCTACTGCCGTCACTCAAGCCCCTTGGATAGGACCTGGTGGGGGCCAGGGGGGCCGTGGAACACAGGGACTCCAGGGGCGTCTGGCGAGCTGGGGCTGCGTCACATCTCCTGGACAGAGGGAGATAACGTGTTCCACTTCCTGGGCTCACACCCCGAACACTTTGTTCCTGGGGCTCTGATGGCAGCCTAGAGCTGGTCAGACTCCAATGTCAGAGCTTCAGGGTTTGCTCTTTTGCATTCCCCTGTGTCTCCTGTGTCCCCGCATGACCCCTGCATACCCCCTTGTCCCCTGCATACCCCCATGTCCCCTACATACCCCCATGGCCCTGCCTACCCTCATATCCCCCTGCCTATCCCCATGTCCCCTGCATACCCCCGTGTGCCCCGCCTACTCCCATGTCCCCTACACACCCCCATGTCCCCTGCATACCTCCATATTCCTTGTATACCCACATGTCCCCTGCCTACCCCCGTGTCCCCTGCCTATCCCCATGTTCCCTGCATACCCCCATGTCCCCTGCATATGCCACCCCCACCCTGCCATATTCCTGTCCCTGTGTCATGTTTCTTCTTCCAGAGACCCTGAGTCTGGAATGTGATGGCCAGGCTGAGCCTCACAGGCCCAGAAAGAAGGAGACCAGCACTCCCCACCTTCCTGTTTTATTTTGTTCTCTTTTTTCTTTCTTTCTTTCAGATTTTGGCCCAGAGCCAGCAGTGCTCAGGGGCTAGTCTAGCTCTGTGCTCAAGGGTCACTCCTGGCAGGGCCTGGGC